TTTTCTAGGATTTATTATTACCGGTGACGGAGTTCACGTGGATCCGCGCAAAGTTGCGGACATTGTAGACTGGTCGACACCTAAGTCCTTTAATGTTTGAAACTTTCATGGATTAGCTAATTTTTATCATCGTTTCATTCATGATTTTAGTATTTTGATGGCCCTTATAACTGATTGCTTAAATTGTAAATAATTCCAATGGACACTTGAACAACAACATAGTTTTGAATCCATTAAGGCAACTTTATTGTCAGCCTCTATCCTTGCTATCCCAAATTTTGGAAAACCATTTAAAGTAGAAACTTATGCATCTGCTACAGGCATTGGGGTTGTTTTGATTCAAGAAAATAAACTGATAGAATTTTTTAGTGAGAAGTTGTGCTCAACTTGACATAAATGGACTTATGGATCATGCATGAACATGAATTGTATGTGGTGGTTTATGCTTTGAAACAATGGGAGCATTACTTGTTGAATCTGGATTTTTTCTTTTGTAGTGATCACAATGCCCTACAATACATTAACAACCATAAAATTTTAAAAAGAATGCGTGCTAGGTGGGTGCTATACTTGCAACGATTTACTTTTGTGTTAAAGCACAAGTCAAGTTCAGAAAATAGGGTAGCTGATGCATTAAGATGCAGGTCAGCCCTATTAATTCAATTGCAAATGAGATTACTGGTCTAGAGTGTTTAAAGGAGTTGTATGAGACTGATAAAAGCTTCAGCATAATTTGGTATGATTGCCATTCCATTAGTTGCACTTCTGATTTCACTATCAGGCATGGTTTTCTTTTTAAATGCAATTTGCATTCCCAAGTCTTCTTGGCAACAACAATTAATCAAAGCAATACACAGTGGTCGGCTATCTGCCCATGTAGGGCGTGAAAAACCATAGAACAGCTCATACTTCATTTTTACTGACCACACTTGCGCAAGGATGTGACTTGTTTCGTTGAAAGCTGTTTTATTTGTCAAACATACAAGGGAGGCAATCAAAATACTGGTTTATACATACAATTTCCTGTGCCCACAACCATTTGGGAAGATCTAAGCATCGACTTCATTTTGGGTTTACTAAGAACTAGGCGAAATAATGATTCTATCATGGTAGTTTTGGACATGTTTTAAAAAATGGCCCACTTTGTTGCCTATAAAAAGATATTTGATTCTCCAAACATTGCCTGCCTCTTCTTGACCGAGATAATTTGCTTACACGGAGTACCTATAAGTCTCACTTTTGATAGGGATGTTAAATTCATCATTCATTTTTGGTGAGATTTATAGAGAAATTTGTGCACTGACATTAATTTAAGTCCGGCTTATCACCCTAAATATGATGGGCAAACTGAAGTGGTGAATCGCACATTGGGAAACATGTTAAGATGCTTGGTTTAAGAACATTCGAATTTATGGGATGAATTATTCGTGCAAGCTGAATTTGTGCATACAATATTATGCCTAATCGCTCAGTTGGCCGATACCCTTTCAACATTGTTTATACTTAAGACTCCTAACCATACATTGATATTGTAGTTTTGCCCAAATGTAACACTATTGCCGCTCAATTAATTGATAATATTACCAATTTAATCACAATTATTGCATCAAATAATAGTTATAAGCTTGCAGATTCCCACTATCGTCACAAGGTATTTAATCCGGTTGATCTAGTCATGGCCCGTAGGCAATGTGAACGTTTTGCGTCAGGCACATATTCAAAATTATCACGCTGAAAAAGTGGGTCATTTCCATATTGTACAGAAAATTAATGAGAACGCTTACATTGTTGACTTGCCTTTTGAGTACAAAACTTATTCCACTTTTCAACATTACTAATCTCTATATTTACTTTCCTTATGATGATGCTCCGACAACTACAACCTTAGTGTCTAAGGTTTCTTCTTCGATAGGGGCACGTGATGCGGTGCACCACTTTGCGAGGGAGACCTAATGTGGTGCACCACTCTGCGAGAGAGTAACTTATCTATTACTTATTCACTTACCTTTCTATTTCTTCTGTTACAGTATCCACTATCCACACTACTCTTTTAGTTATAATAATACTATATCACTTTTTCTGTTATAATTCTCTTTTTAGCAAACACCAGCTTTAGCTCGAGAGCTTAAAAATATATGTACTGAAGGAAGAAGAAGGATGATATACTCAATATTAAAAACCTGAATTTCTGCTGCTGTTTTTCTGCTCTTTGCTCTGTTCCTATTCAGCTGCTTAGCTTAGTTCTACGTTTACTGCATCATTAGATCTAGATTGTTTGAAATAGGATTGAAAATTATATTCAGTTATGAATACATATTCAGATATATCTATGTATTTAAATTTGAATGAATAAATATATTCATCCATTCATTTATATACACGAACCTATATATGCTTGAGTTTATGCATTCATGTTGGACTAAGAATTTGCATTTGGAGATTGAAAATTAATTGAAATTGAATCAATTTTTGACTCAAATCTATCTCAAATCAAAGTTAATAAGCCATTTTTGGCTTAAATCAAAATTTAAGTAAGTCATCTTATAACCAAACTTGGCTCAGCTCGATATTGTTTTATTATTATGTTTTTAGTTGATTAATTTGCAATGTATTATCTTAATAGTACCCTGAATTGATTTTGCTTATTTAAAATACATGTATATATACATAAATTGGCTCGATATAAGGAAGTAGAAAATGAGGTTTATAGAATAAGTAACTTAAAAGATGAGAGATTTAGGTATTTTGATTAAATTAGATGTATTAAAAGTGAAGATAATAGGATATTTATTAAAGATAAAGATATGAAGGAAAGATGAAAATATTATTTTGTGAAATTGAATGAGAGAGAAAAAAATTGTTTTGGAAGTGGTTGAAAAGCATAGAGATCAATATAATGAAGTCTATTATAAAATGATACAAAGTGGAGTAAACTTGAAAAAGATTCATAAAGCCATAAAGGTAAAGCTTTAGGTGTGGATACCTAGAAAAATTTGGAAAATTACTTGGGCTATTGCAATGATTTGGTTAACAAATTTTTTAATAGAATTATGAAGTTTAAGAGGGCGCCAAATGATTGGAAAAGAAGCTTTTTTGTACTAATATTTAATAGCAAAGGTGATTTTTAAGATTTTCCTAGCTACATATGAGTTATATAATAAAGCATGGATAAGTGTAATGGAATATGGGCTTAGAAAAATTACATCAATTTCAAAGAACAATTTGATTTCATGCTAGGAAGAGCTACTATGGAAGTAATTTTTGTGTTAAGGTAATTAACGAAGAAGTATTGAAAATGAAGGATGTCTCTTCATATGATTTTCATTGATATTAAGAAAGTATACGATTGAATAACGTGATAATTAATTTGATATGTTTTAAGATAGAATAGTGTTTTGAAGATATGTTGACATTATTTAAGATACACATGATAGAGCACTAAGTAATATTTAGAATAGCTATGGAGTGATGTAAGAGTTTTTAATTACTTCAGGATTATATCAAGGATCAACATTGAGTTTATATATTTTTTGTATTGGTTATGAAGATTCTTATAAAGTGTATTCAAAGTCAGGCACATTCGCGTATACTTTTTACTGATGAAATAATTTTAGAAAAAATAAGTAAAATTAAGAATAATTGAGGAATTGTTCAGAAGACAGAGACATGAGAATTAATAGAATAATGGTTGAGTTTATGATATTAATTTAAGTATGTATGATATCAAGAATCATCATTCAATATCATTGAAAGTTAAGGTGATACCTAGGTGTGATGAACTTAAATATCTTTGATGCATTATACTGAAGAGAGAAAAAAAAAATGTTGGACAGAACTTCTAGAGCTAAATATTAGATTATTAAAATGAAAATGCGCTGCAGGTTTTGTGTGATAAGAGGATATTATGGAGGTTTAAAAGATAAATTTTATAAATCACAATTAGTCCAATGATGTTGCATGAATCTGAATGTTGTATTATTAAAAAATTATTGATATCTAAGTTGAGTTTGATAAAAATAATAGATAGATGTGTGGCAAAACTAGGAAGAATAAATGAAGGATTGATCATATTAGAGAAAATATTATAGTGGCCATAGACTTACTTAGATGGTTTTGACATATACTAGGAAAGGTAGAAAATGTGTTCGGTAGAGTGTTTGATAAAAGTATTATGAGAGAATTTAAAAAAAAAAAAGGGGTAGACCTATGATTATATGAATAGAAGTTGTTCAAAATGATTTACTAGAATAGGTTTAATAGCGTAAAAGCACTCAACAAGAACAAATGAAAAGTGAGGATTCTTTAAACCAACCTCAAACAGTTGGGATAAGGCCAGTGATTATTATGATTTATATATACATGAATACACAAATACTAACATATTAATATAATTACATGTACACACATACCTTACACAGTATTCATATATGCGTATTCTTTATATCTGTAATGTATGTATCAGGTATATAGTAGTTTAAGAGCTTCTGCAAATTCTTTTTTCAAATAAAAAGCATAAATAAGTTTTTTTTTCATATCAATCTAGATTTCAATAAAAGTGATAAAAAGATATTCATGCTAATAGCAGCAACAGGTAAAAACATTTAAAGCTCTGATCTTTTGTCTAATTTTCTAATTATGATTTGGAGTTTATAGTGAGGCCTTCTAATTTGAATTTGAATATAAACTTTTTTATGCATGCTCTTATTGAATTGCAGATCTGTTGACTGAGATATCAAACTATCATATATGTAAAGTGACAGTCCTTGTATTTAAAATATATTCGGTTTATTTTTGAAGTACTTTCTTTACTATTAAGAGATTAGTTGCTGTTATGATACGTGTTCTTGATTTTTCAGAGTTCTGTCAATGTCATTTATACAATCACTATGCATTAAAGCTGATAGGCACTACAATAATTTTCTTATTCTTATTCGTGATTCTTTATGTGAATTAGTTGGGTTACTCATGGTTGTTTTTTTTTTCCTTTGTTAACATGTCAGGTCTTGTTTCTGATTCCTTCCATTTGACATTTGGTTGTGGCCTCCTAACCTTTTCTTTGTTTGCAATGACTGCTGCTCAGAAAAAGCCTGATGGAATATACACCTATGGGTGAGCTTTTCTTTTAGATGTACTCCACTGCCACAAAAACTGAAGGCTTGCTAAAGATTATTTTTGAGTAGTTTTTCGATGCAATCTAAATTTTAATGGACTCTTTGCTTCTGATATTATTTAGGTACAAGAGGCTGGAAGTTTTAGCTGCTTTTACAAATGCTGTGAGTTCTTATAACTTGGATTATCTGTTTCATTTCTTGATGAAATCAATACGTACTTAAAGTTGAGTAACCAGTTTGTCTTTCAGTGTTATCTGGTGATCATGTTTTAGTATATGACTTTGTTCCAATTATGATAATGTCATGAATTGGAATTAGTTGTAGCAATTGTAAGTTTACATGGAAAAGCTCTGTATATTGGTAGTTGTTTTATCTTCAATCGTTTGTATTCAGCAAGTTTAAAGAAACGGAGAGAGAAACTTGCAGGCTAAATGTAACGAAATAATATAGGGCAGTGGTGCAGCATGAAAAAATTAATTAGAGCAGGAATCTTTCCTCTATTGCATTAGAGAAACAGAAAGATCTAAATGAGCCTCACTCTACTGCTTACTGAAGGCCTTCTAGAAGGTCTAAATTTAATGTTAACTACTACATAGTTAATCTTGAAGCTGATCTGATTTTGGAAATCATTTATGCATATTGCATCCTAATATACTATTTAGCCAACTTGAAACTTCCACCGAAATTAGTGCTTTTAACAGTTCGTATGACTCATGAATTATGATGGAACCATCTTTAGTGAGAAGATAATCTTATTAGGATGTCCATGCTTGTGAATAGTGATGCATCTTAAATGAACTCAATTTTACTGATAAACATACAAGGATTGGCTAGGATTTTATGTAGAAGCAACATGCCAAATTTTAATGTGGATATACTGAGAGGTGGAGAAATGGTGGTTGAGCTCAAAAAAGAAAAGTAGAAACAGTAAAAAATTTGACTGGTTACGTTAAAAAAAAAATCAAAGAACAGAATCAAAAGCAACAGATTCAAAGTTTCCCGACCTTTGAAGAGACTTGATCGCTTGTTGCAGTTGATCTTGTTGCTGGATCCTAATCAAATCCACCTAAGTGAAATCTAAATTCAAAGTTCAGGTAGATTTTTCTATTTTATGGTTTTAGGTGATCGCCTTTGGCTTCAAAACATGATAAAACCATTTCTCATAGATAATTCGATCAACTTTACTCAATTTAGAATTCCCTCAATAGAATTCCCAACCTAATGTATAGGCAAGTATTTTCTGTTCATATTCTTATATTTCCTTGCTCTTCTTTACACAATTCCAAACGTCTCATCTAGTTGAGCTTGATAATATGACAAAAATTGTAAATGCACAATCTATTTCTATATATACTCTGAAGGTTATGGATGCAACCATATTATTCAATTTTGTGTTTTTCCCGAGCATGATCATTTATAGCACACCAATATTTAATCTGAATGCTTATTCTTTTGCGATGTACTAAGAAAATGACCAAGAAATCATAGTACTACCTTCTGGGATATATTATGAATGCAGCTTACCATGAAATCATAGATCTTCAACAGCCCAATTGCGGCTGTTCTTGCTAAAGACTGAATCCATTTTTTTATTGCTATATATTATGATAGTTATAACTATATTTTGATTGGATAGGGTTCAATCCATGCCATAATGTACTGTTTCTCTCTCGTCTCCTTGCTGTTTTTTGAATTTTCCAGTTGCTTAACATTATACAGATGCAACTGTATTAGCCATGTTAGATTCCTGTGAATGTTTCCTTCAATAGTAAATTTTTTCATGATGATCATGTGATACTGTTTCACTTATGTAGACAGCTGTTTCTTCTGTTCATGTCCTTCTCCTTGGCAGTGGAAGCGTTGCACGCATTTATTCAGGATGAATCAGAGCACAAGTAAGTCTTTTGAACTTGATGCACTATTTATAATAACAGTAATGACATCAATTGGCAATGTTAACTTGATTGTGAATCAATCACTAGCTGGTGTATCAACTTGTACACTAACTTAACAATAGTGAGTTGAATATGAAATGCAAGATATTTTTGATTGTCCATGCTGCCATGATATCATTTTTTACACATGATAATTTGCCACAGCTGTAGGCTTTAGTGATTCAGTGTTCTATTATTGAAGATGCATGAGTGTAGAGACGTTATTCTTTAGCTAAAAATTATTTGTACCCTTTTGATTTCATTGATTTTATCTGTAGGTAAGTTTTGAAGTTTTTCTTTTGTTCAAGAAAAACATTTTAAACTAATAACAAGTATTACTGCAATTTCAACATAGTGGATGTTACTTGGGAGTTGGGAGAAACTAGTGTGATAACACTTTTAACAACTTGTATCAACACTATATGAAACTCAGCTGTTTCCGGCGGAAGTTTCCGCCGGAAACTTGGCAAAATCCGCCGGAAAGTTAACAACTTGGTAAATAGGCTTACCGGCGGAATTTCAGTGGAATCTAATCCGTCGAAAAAAGCAGAGTCGGAAAGCTATTTTCAGCAGAAATAAATCTGACAAAAATATTTCCGGCGAGCTCCCAGCGGCTGTTCGACGGATTTTCAACATCGAAAAATGTCCCTGTTTGTTGAGTTTTCCGCCGGCAGGAATTTTCATTGTAAAGTGGTGTATTTGAGGCAGCAAATTTTGTTGCAAATTATGGTGGAAATTTCTGCCGCAAATCCAACGTAATTTATGACAAAAAATTTCCATCGCAAATGCTATTAAAATTTGTCATATCGTTATTTCTGGCAAAAAATCCACCAGAAACCAGTATCATTAAAAAAAAAAACAATAGCTCATTTCATATATTCAACTTTTACAACATTCATAGTACAAACAAATTTTAAGTACTAGTTAAATATGCTAATATTTCAACATTGCACATACATATTGATAAAAAATATTTAAATAAATTGCACAAATTGTTTACAACTGTTCTAGAATAATAAAACATACAATTCTTATACATAAAAAAATCAACATGCATGAAAAAGCAAAGAATGATTTTCATTAATTAGAATTTGTTTCCTCACTCTCCTGCTCGGTCGATACAAGCGCAGGCTGATTTTCACTAATATGTTATCTCATTCTTTGAAGCTATTCCAGTATCTGCATGTGCATGTCCACTTATGATTTTTGGACATTTTCTTTAGTTATATTGTCAGGTTAGCCACCTGTTGGCTATACAAATTCTCCTAGTTGCTTGCAGAGAAGCTGGAGGCACCAGAGGATTGTCTCTCATACTCGTAGGCCTGTGAACCTAATCCATAATTTCGTCCCTTCTGCATTCTGCTAACTACTTGCGACTAAATGTGGTAGTCAGAATAATCTGTTGAACCCCCAAAGGATCCCTCACGAGCTCCAACCTAGCTTTCTTAAAGCCATGTATACTTATCCTACAAAAGATAACATAAAATTAATCATCATATAATTATCAATTAAAATATGATTCATCCACCGACATTGAACAATACTCCTTGTTGATTGTAACTTTGAGTAAAAGTAGTATAATTGGGTTGTCTCATACATCAGGTATGCTTCATATATCGATTCTTCGGGACATGATTTGTTCTTAACAGTCTTCTTAAGTTTATTTAAATTCATGCACGATGTATGATTATGAAATCATAACTTGTTAATAATATTAGAGATGTTATGTATGCGGGAAGTTACCTTTCAAAAGGATAAGTCCACCAATATTGAACAGGTCCACCAACTCTAGCCTTACATGATAAATGTACGGGCAGATGCTCCATAGAGCCAAAAAATCCTGGAGGAAAATCTTATCAAGTTTTGAAAGAATGAAAGGAATGTTATGCTCACTAAGGACTAGCTTCAGTTACAATGATGACATGTAATCTCTGACAAATTATCCCTGTAGTACAACAACAACATCAAGCCTTTGTCCCACTACGTGGGGTCGGCTACATGAATCCTTTTTCTCTCCATTGTGTTTTTTTAAAAGTCAAATTTTCTTTTAAATCTAATAAAAAAAATCATTTCTAATACTTTCTAACCAAGTCTTTTTAGGTCTACCTCTATCTTTCTTAACATAAGTCAAATCTAATACGTCTACTTTCCTAACCGGGTCATTGGAAGGCCGCCATTTTATGTTACCAAACCATCTAAGGCGACTCTCTTTACCAATTAAAGTGAGGTTTTGGAGAGATGACAATGAAGAAGGTAGATGCGTTGGAATGCAAAGTGGAGCAAATCAAATCCTGGACAGAGGAAAAGTTCTCAACCATGGAAGAAATGTTACAACCATGGAGAGCTGATTGGGAGGGATGGAGGAAAGATGAGGAAGCTTATTGAGATGCAATCCAAAAATTTATTGGTGATTCCGCTTACTAACCCTAACAAAGATTTGACCATAATTCACTTGGCCAAATCTGAGGGAAAGGAGATCGGACGAGAGAAGTTGGATGAGGAGAGTTTCACCTCTTAGGGCTCTAATAAGGTGCGAATCAAGGTTTCTGGATGGGGGACAACAATGAGGGAATTTTGTGGTGAAGCTAGTAAGGTGACCAAGCACTATTGAAGATATTTCGGGCAAGGGGAGTGGGCGACCAGAGATGGAAGCGGTCGAACCAAGCTAGGGGGTTCGGGTCATGCAAGGAGGATGAAAGAGATGTGGGATTCCCACTCTCAATACACGGGGAAACATGATGATCCTATGGTGAGAAAGTTAAAGATGCAAATGATTGATGAGAAGAAGGGTGAGAGTTCAATAAGTGATGCACAAGCTCATTCCGAAGATAAATTGATCGATAAGGAGTGAATGAAGAGGACAAAGTTGACATCGAATTGATTAAGCTGAAAGATTCAAAGGATGAAATTCAGATATGGAAGGCAAGGGAATGTCTCAGTCTCTCTCCAAATAGCTAAGTTGTTTAGTCGGAGGTTATTGAAGCACTTACTAGTTACTACTCTTGGTGTGATTCTTCTACCGGTGCAGTTTAGGCAGATAAGGCCAATGGAGGTTATCAACGTGGAAATTTCAAGTCAAACTGGAGCTTATCTTAATATTGAGGAACTCATTGCGGTTGCAAAATTGCTTGGGCTTGGATCTCCAAATGACATAGTTGCAGTTGAAGAGGCAATAGCCCGAGAAGCTGCAGTAGCTGGCGATTTGCAACTGGCTTCTTATCTCTGCCTTGTGTTAGCAAATAAGGGCCATGGTCCTATCTGGGATTTATGCGCTACAATTGCAAGGAGTCCCCAGATGGACACTTTGGATACCAGCTTCCGGAAACAGCTGCTAGGCTTTGCATTGAGCCACTGTGATGGGGAATCCACTGGGGAATTATTGCATACTTGGAAAGATGTTGACATGCACATGGACTATGAACACCTAATGATTTCAACTGAAACTTGTCCTCCAAAATTTTCATTTTTCAACAGTAGTACCACTTCCTATAAATAGACTTCATATAGGCCGTTTTTTAAGGTCATATGGACCAAGCCCCTCACCAACCAGTTCTGTAGCTTGTAGTTCCTTCAGTGAACTTGCCAACCAATTCAAACCTTCATATAGGCCATCACCTTTAAGAGCCATGTTCCTTGAATATGATATATTCGATTCTTAAGGTCATATAGATCAAGCCCCTTGTAGACCTCCATTGGAGTTATTGCTCTTTTCATGTACTACTTGTTTGAAAAAACTACTATGACACTATTGAGCGTGAAGGGATCATTGATAATTTCTTGAAGCTCAGCTTTAGCTTTTCCAATTCTTTCTCTGCCCAAAGAATTAACAACATAGATCAATCCATCAGTATTGTCAAAATAATGCCTCCATAAAGGCCTTAGCTTATCTTGCCCACCTGCATCCCAGATTGTGAAGATCACATTTTATATTGAACTTTCTCTACATTGAAATCAATTGTTTTGGAACCGTTGATAGAACTTCTCCAATGTGCAGCTTATACAATATGGTTGTCTCACACGCTGCATCCAGTTCAAGCATTACAACCCTCATTTCTTTTGGAAGGCTTGACTCATGGCCAATCTCTCGCTTATCCGCTCTTCCTAGCTCTGCAAGCTATAATTTAAGATAGAGATATCATGGTGGTTTTTTGTGGATGTAACCAAGGAATCAAAGAAGAGGAAGACGGATATCTCGATCCGCGATCCTCAATTTTATATCTAAATAATAGTTATATGCTCTTATGACATGTTTGAGCATGATATTGAACATCTTTAAAAATATATTTTAAGTGATCATCGAATTCATAAGCATCAAATACTATGGATGAGAATAACAATACAAATGAAGAGGAAAATAAAAAACACATTCGAGTGGATGTAGATTTAGAAAAAAAATGGAATTAGATGTGCAAATCTTGCATCATCAAAATTTATTTGATTTTTTTTTTTAAATTGCCTATGTCGGTCTCAAAGCTAGATGAAAAAGTCAAGCGAAAATTAAAAAAAAAAAATAAATTTAGCCCCCCCCCACCCCCAATAAATTTCTAGCTTCGCTATTGCCGACCCGGTTTTTAAAACGGGTTGATTTCTTGAACCCGAACCCGACCCGTTTTGGGTCCGGGTTGACCCTAATCTGGATTTTTCCGGATCGGGTTTTGGGTCGTGTCAAAAATTGATACCCCTACAAAAAAGCATCCTTTAGTGAGTTTTTGAGTGTTCAACTGAAGGTGGCCTATCCTGGTATTCTCTGCTAAAGGAAAATAGGAAAGTATTATCATTTTCTTCTTTAGAACTCCCATGGCTTCTTGAATTGAGCCGTAAGGGAGAATATGTCAGAAAAGTAGTTCCTGGTACAAAAGCTCTTCCTGGTAAACACTCGATTTCTATTAGATTTCAAGCTTTTTGATCGTACAAAAGCTTTTCATGGAGTTGAAGTAATAGAGGAGCAACTAAAGCAAAGAGAAGGATATCAGGAAATACACAGCATCATGAATATTGGAATGTAATACAGCTCAATACAAAAGTTGTATAAAGAAGCCTCAAGTCCTGATCAGAGAAGGAAGCTGTTGCTTCAGAAATTTTTAGAGAAATATGCATCATTTGGTTCAGATGAAGTGGAACGATTTGACAAACTGCATCCTACATTTTGGAGAGAGTTGAGAATGAAATTAGAAGATCAGAAACGTCTAGCTGATCAAACATGGGCGCTGGAGGAAACAATTCCTGGTGTAGATACGAATCGCTTCTTGCCAAGAGACATTGAATACATCCGAGGTGGTTATTTAAATTACTTGGATATGATCGCTCAGGACTAGACAGTTTTCATCCTTCCACCATGAGGATGAAGTGCGTTTGTGTGTGTGTGTGGGAGGGTGGGGGTGGGGGGCGGGGTATTGATACGGGGCCCACCTTGTTAGGCTCAGGGGAGTTAACATTCACCATAAGGTGTAGAAATAATTAGGAAAGTTTATTTAGGGAAAGTTGACTGATTCGAATTTAGATTGGGAGTAAATTATGAAAGGTTTATTAAAGGAAAGAGGACAGATTTGAATTCAAATTTGGGTGGGAAATATGATGGTTTATTTAAGGTTAATGAGGTTGTTTTATTTTCATTATGTGATTTATGTGTTTGTTGTAGTTTTTTTTGGAGTTATTCCTAGCGGCGCATAGGGTTTGTGGGAGAGTCGATATACCTCTGGAATAGTAGATCACTTGTATCGTTCATTATTTGTTGAAGATATTATAAAAAATCAGCCCTAATCTTTGGCTATTGTATTTTTCTTCTTAACTACTTGCGATTTTTACTTCAAAGACGCATCAATTTCCCTACTCAAAATACATTGCTTACTTTGTTCATCAGTTATAACTCAAAGAGAAAGTAGTTGCAGACTATAATATGGAGAGAAATAGAGGAGAAGAGGCTCAAAACAGTTGCAATGTCGTTTTATGTGAGGTTGTTTTATTTTCATTATGTGATTTATGTGTTTGTTGTAGTTTTTTTTGGAGTTATTCCTAGCGGCGCATAGGGTTTGTGGGAGAGTCGATATACCTATGGAATAGTAGATCACTTGTATCGTTCATTATTTGTTGAAGATATTATAAAAAATCAGCCCTAATATTTGGCCCTTGTATTTTTCTTCTTATCTACTTGCGATTTTTACTTCAAAGACGCATCAATTTGCCTACACAAAATGCATTGCTTACTTTGTTCATCAGTTATAACTCAAAGAGAAAGTAGTTGCCGACTATAATATGGAGAGAAATAGAGGAGAAGAGGCTCAAAACAGTTGCAATGTCGTTGTTGGGGTCGGAACTTGTGATGGCTTGCAGTGGAAAGGGATGAAGAAGTTATGCTAGAGGGGGACAACAATGACCAGAACGAAGTATCAAGGGGCTTGTGATGGCTTTTCTTCCAATGGAGAAAGCTTGCACTAACAATAATTGGGAAGAAGAGAGCTTGCAATGGCTTTTCTTGTGGTGAGAAAAAAAAAAAGGAATGCGATTGAAATCCTAACCTATTCTCCCCTAAAATGCATTTGAAGGCAGTGACTTGCAAAGTTGCCTGTTGAAAGACAGGGTGGTTGAGTTGATTTATTGGTTTTGGTTAAACATATTCGTTTTCTATTTGTTACACAAATTGCACTTATTTCAATCTACATTTATATGCATATCAATAATAGTAATAAAATGATGTTTGTTTATTGGTTTTTATGTATTTATTTAAAGAGTATGTACCACGTGTATATAGTTCTCACCAATATTGGGTCATGTAGGTTAGCTGTTGGTCAATGATTCACTAATGTAACTTATGATGAGATGCCCATTGAAAATACTCAGAAGCCACAATCCATGATTACTCTTAAATTTAGTAAATATCAAAAACCTTTAATGCAAAAACAATAACACACCTATTTCATTCGAAACAATAATGTAATAGTCACCAAACTATCAAAATGTCATAAGAAAAAACTAGGAATGATTATAAAATTTCTATAAAATTCAATATTTACGTACAAAAAAGAATCTGACACACATTAACCATAAAACTTAAATCACTTATATGCACTAATTATTAAATAAGTAGATAAAAATAATCAGGATAGAAATAACTTAACAAAAGATTTAAGCCTTACACCGATTTAAGGACACTTGCTCTTGTAAGTAGTCTTCAAGATTTAGAGTAGGGGTGTCAATTTTGGGTCACGGGTCAGGTTCGGATCGAACCCGAAACTGACCCGGCACTATTCGGATCAACCCGAACCCGACCCGCTTCGGGTCCGGGTCAACCCGACACGACCCGAATGACCCGTTTCCAACAAAAAATGGCTAATTTTCGGGTCAAAAACAGGTCAATCTCCTCTTTTCGGGTCAATAACGGGTCAATCTCGGGTTGCCGGGTCAAAATCGGGTTTTCAGGTCAAAATCAGGTCACTTTCGGGTCAAAGGGTTAACCCGATCCGATTTTTGAAACGGGTTGAAATGCTGAACCCGAACCCGACCCTTTTCGGGTTCGGGTTGACCCTAACCCGAAATTTTCGGCTTCGGGTTCGGGTCGGGTTTTCGGGTCGTGTCAAATATTGACACCCCTAATTTAGAGAGTGCTTTAAGCGTCCACATTCAATAACATACACAATTATTGGGGGAAATTGAAATTTTATTTCATTATTAAATATTCAATGAATTTTACATGTAGTTAGAGGCTGATTTATAGCCCAAAAAAGGCCTAAATATTAGGGGTGTCAATATTGGACCCGATCTGAACCTGGCCCAAAAATTTCGGGTTTGGGTTGACCCGAACCCGTAACGGGTTGGGTTCGGGTTCAATAATTTGACCCGTTTCAAAAATCGGGTCGGGTTCGGGTTGACCCGTCAACCCGAAATTGACCCGTTTTTTACCCGATAACCCGTTTTGACCCGGGAACCCGTTTTTGACCCGTTCTTGACCCAAAAAAAGGAGTTTGACCCTTTTTTGGACCCGAAAACTAGCAGTTTTTTGTTCGAATCGGGTCATTATGGTCGGGTCGGGTTGACCCGGACCCGAAGCAGGTCGGTTTCGGGTCTGGAAAACTGACCCATTTTCAGAAACGAGTCGGGTTGGGGTTGACCCGAATAGTACCGGGTCAGCCCGTGACCCGAAATTGACACCCCTACTAAATACAATAAATTTTAGGATCCATCAAGAACTGATCAAATACATCATTTTTTAACACATCTTACATGAATTACTCTGAGTTTCCAAAAAATTTCAAGTAAAATGCCCTTTTTTTCAAAGCAGTTAAAAATGGCATGTGCCATAGTGCCATACCGAAGGAACCAAAGAAGGAAATTTGTAGTAGAAAGGGTCGCTCGTTTGCTATAGTCTTGGGAAAATAGAGGTAGTTGAAGGAAACTTGGAAAAAATGTTGATGCTACCTTCCCAAAATAGAAAGGCTGCTGATAGCTAGCTATAATCCCAAGAATTAGAGAACCGTGGAAGGCAAAGAAATGGATAATAGTAGAGTTCTGGGAAAGGGAATCCATAATGTCTTAGTTTGCTTTTTTTTGCCATGCTTAAAAATTTTGGCTCCGAGAAATTAAATATTTGATATTTGTCATATGAATCTAAGCAAAACTATTGTCCTTCCTAGAAGCTTATCCATAACTCTACATAAATAAATGTCATCTCTAGGTATGTGAAAGGATATCTACTATTTGTACTATAACAACAACAACAACATGCCTTTATCCCATATATGGGGTTGGCTACATGAATCCTTTTTCTCTATTGTGCCCTATTAAGAGTCTAATTGTTATTTAAATCTAATGAAAAAAGGTCATTTCTAATACTTTCTAATCAAATCTTTTTAGTTCCATGACAATTTGATAGGAAATACTTGTAGATCGCAAGTATTTCCTATCAATCTTCTAAAAATAGCGAGAATTCTTCATAAAAATCCGCACAAAATCACAAAAATAGTAGATAATTTGTATTACTTTTTGAAAGCGAAACGAAAAATAGCAAGATACATGATCCTCTATTCGAGAGGAGGATCGATCTCTCCCAAATCTCTAGACGCCACTAGAGCCCAAAGGAAACATAAATCTAAGAGAGATCAAATTTCAACCAAATTCAAGATGACCTAATCCTAGGACAACTAACTATTTAATGTATACAAATCAAAAGGAAATCCCTAAACAGTGCCTACATTCAAATTTCCCTCTCAAACCTTCAAAAATCCTTCCTAAATGGCTCCGCTTGGGTGTTCGAACCGCCCGATCTCCATAGGAGGAAGAGATCCCGCCTCAGTTGCGATGGGCCGGTCCCGTGCGGACTGGCTGGACTGGACCGGTCTAACAATACTCCCCTTTAAAAAATCCACGTTGTCCGCATTGTGGAAAGACGACACCCTCCATTCCTTCTTCATCACAAACGGTAAGAACCTGAAGAGTTTGGTCCTTACACATTTGCCCCGGCATATACCTCTCGACACATCTAAAAGAAAGCCCCTTCGCCCTCTTCTCCTGTAATTCTGTCTCTTTGAGCTTCTTGAAGTTGTTCCCAGGTTTTCCTCATGCAGTATTTTCCTTCTAAGTCCCACGAAGAGTATCCGGTGTTGGCTCCTTAGATTTCAATAAGGTGGTGGTCATCCTGTACGAGCCTCCTGAGCTGCCGCCTCCCGTCTCTCCCTCCAGGTGGATCTGATCTTCTACCAATTGAGCTAGCTACATAGCCTCTCCCAAGTCACGAGGCCTCATTACTCTAACCGCTGCTCGGATCTCTAGTGTTAATCTCTTCATGAAGTTTCCCTCTAGCACTATCTCAAAAAAGCGATCCAATCGGCTAGTAAGGTACTCAAATCTCTCTCGGTACTCTGTCAATGAACCCTCCTGTGTCAAGGCTAAGAACTCCTCGTAGAAGTCTTCTCCCCTACCAGCTTGAAAACGTTCTACCAAAAAATCCTTGAACTCTCTCCAACCTCGTATGGGTCGTTGCATGTCCCTCCACTGATACCAAGACAAAGCCTTCCCTTCTAAACATAGGCCCGCCGCCGTCAGTCTTTCCTCCTCAGTCAGCTCACTGACGACGAAATATATTTTTAGCTTGTAGATCCACTCGTGTGCATCCTCCCCCTAAAGATTGGCATCTTATGTTTCCTCACCCTTGGGTCACACCCATTTCCCCTAAATCCTCCATAACCTTCCATTCCTCGAAGCGGAGGTGCTCCCCAATTGTCACGATATTCCCTTCGACGATCATACCCGAACCATTCATCAAAATCCCCTGTTCTTCTTCCAAAATCAGCACACCGGCGATTGAAATCATCCCCGCTCCTTACAAATTCACCACCCCTTCTTGCTTAGCCAATGCTCATCTACTTCATAGAAAGTGGTTCTAGAGGAGGCATTCTGTCTTGTCCTTCCAGAATGTCCACTTCTGGCTTTTCCCTTCCTCTAGACATGTTAGGGTTCCCATCTCTTCCGTGGCCGCTGGTAGTTTTCTTTGCTTCTGATGTCACCGGTTTGGTTTTGGCTTCAAGTAATTTTTTTCAACATGTCTTCCACCACGACAAACTTTTCCTCCATCTTTTCATTGATGGATGCAGTATGACTTTGAAAATCAGCCATCTTTTCCTCAAAATTTGCTTTGAGTTGCCCAAGTTCTCCCTGACTCCCTCCAAAACTTCCACTTTCCTTCCAGCCATTGGTTCCCTTTCGATCGACGTGCTCTGATACCAATTTGATAGGAAACACTTGTAGATCGTAAGTATTTCCTATCAATCTTCTAAAAACAGCGAGAATTCTTCACAAAAATCCGCACAAAATTACAAAAACAGTAGATAATTTGTATTACTTGATGAAAGCGAAACGAAACATAGCAAGATACACTTGATCCTCTATTCGAGTGGAGGATCGATCTCTCCCAAATCTCTAGACACCGCTAGAACCCAAAGGAAACTTAAATCTAAGAGCTCTCAAATTTCAGCCAAATTCAAGATGACTTATCCCTAGGAAAACAAGCTATTTAATGTATACGAATCAAAAGGAAATCCCTAAACAGTCCCTACATTCAAATTTCCCTCTCAAAACCCCCAAAAATCCTTCCTAAATGGCTCCGCTTGGGCGTTCGGACTGCCCAATCTCCGCAGGAGGCGGAGATCCCGCCTCTGTTGCGATGGGCCGGTCCCGTGCGGACTGGATGGACCGATCCAGTGGACCGGTCTTACATTCCACCTCTACTTTTCTTAACAAAAGCCGAATCTAATACATCTACTCCCTAATGGGAACAAGAGCAGACAAGATCCCTACTTATAAGTTAACTCTGGAACAAAAGCAAATATGTTAGGTAAAAAAAAAAAACAGAGCAAATATGTTAGGTAAGGTGTTGTATCGGAGTTTGCAAGAGAAGGAAATAGAGAAGAATCTATGGTATTGGTGATAAGTTCATAAATTTAAGTCAAATTAGATACGTTAAAGTTAGAAATACTATTAGAAACTTCATGAAATTTTCATGTAGAATGGCCTTCCTGGCTGTATCAAGTTGCTATCTTCATGAGCTTGGATGTGTGGCTGGCTTTATGTGGTGCCGATTGTTTCCAAATTATTCCTCTTGCAATACATACACTTGCTGTTGACTTTGCCATATGCTGTGGACTGATTGTTGTGTTATCTTTTCCCCAGTTAAATTCCTTTTTGTTGCAAATATAAACAAAATTTGCTACTTTGCAATATTTAGTTAAAGCTTAATGTTCTTTCCTTCAATCCCTCAATTCCTGTGTCAACTTTGCTTGTTTCTCAAACTATAACCTTCTTATTCATAAGTAGAACTTTTGAAGGATAAATAGCACTCTGTTAAAGTTTCGGTTGTCAAGAAAATTGGAACATGCATATCTGATTCAAATTGGATGAATAGAGCCTTTCCTTTTTTTTAATGGAAACATAAAAAATTGTTAGGATTACTAATCTTTGCTTCTCTTTTGGCATCCCCAGTGAGTGGTGACTTAAATCTGCTCCAATAAAATAGCCAAACCTTTAGCACTGCCTTGGAATATATATTACCTTTTTTATAATGATTTTGCCACCTCTTTTATAAGTTTAATTCTGCTCTATATGTTGCTGATCATATATTCCTTTTCTGTTGAAGCATTTTCTTGCTAATTAATATTTTCTATTTTTTAGGCATTATCTGATTGTTTCGGCTGTTACCAATCTTTTGGTGAATTTACTTGGCGTTTGGTTCTTTCGGAACTATGCACGTGTTAATATTGGTAAAATGCTCTGTTTCAAATGTAGAAACGTATCTTTCAAATTTCATATTATTTTATAATTTTGTTGTCATCTCCGATTTCTTCGTTTCTGTATTTATACTATGACTATATTTTTTTCCTGTCAGGTATATTTAAAAAAATGTATCGATATCTTTATCGATTTTTAATCATATTTTGGCTTTAGATCGCTGGATAGCACATTTACTTCTTTTGATACCTTTTTTTAACGGAAAGTCAGAAAGAGTCTCCAATGACGGCTTTCTTGTCCATCACTTTGATTTTTCTGTGCAGCTTATAGGAAGGCTGAAGATATGAATTGCCACTCTATCTGCCTGCATGTTCTTGCTGATTCTATCAGGAGGTATAATGCCCAATAATTGAGTAAAAAATTAAAGTTGCAACGTTATCTACTTTATCCTTTTTTACTTGCTTTTCCTTCTCTTTAAAATTCTGCAGAAGGCAAAGTTCCTTTCTAAGCCTGATCTGTGAATTCTGTCTCAGTGCAGGTTTGGTTCTTGCGTCGTGGTTACTTAGTTTAGGGTGAGTACTGCATTTCTTCATAGTCATCGCTTTCACATTCAAAAATTTATTTGCTCCAAGAGTGCTTGCAAGTTATTTTATTTTCTATTTTTTCCAGTGTTGAGAATGCAGAAGTTTTGTGCTTAGGACTGGTCTCAGCTGCAGTATTTGTGGTCATCCTTCCACTTTTTCGAGCTACAGGTGGTGTCTTGCTCCAACAGGTTCCTGCAAATGTACCTACTTCTGCCTTCAACAAATGCTTGAGACAGGTGTAGTTCCTGAGCACCTGTTTAGCTTTTAAATTTAGAGTCTCTTTTGTACATCACATTTATTTTATGCTGACTTGTCCATGTTTTTTCTACATGCTAATTTCTCTAGGTAACCGCCCTTGAAGAAGTTTCGGAAGTTACTCGGTCCAGGTTTTGGGAATTGGTTCCTGGTCGTGCTGTTGGTTCACTCTCTATACTGGTATGCGTTCGCTGCACTAAGTTATTGTTGCTTTCTTCTGCTTATTTGTTAATGAGGCTAATGAATGAAGCACTATTTTTTAATTGTGTTGTATCTGGACGCTATACGTCTTGAATACTTGGGTATTTCATTGATACCATGTTACATATGTCACATGCTCTGTGGCTCATTTTGTTTTATTTCAGAGAAATAGTTGAACATTGTACCCGGTAAGTTTTCCTATTGTTAGAGAAACAAGATCATAGAAATGGGCTTCAAATGGAGACAAATTCAATGCACTCTTGATTTATTAGTTGATGTTATAGAAGTTGAACTTTTTTTCCCGGTTTCTGTGTGTTCTGTCCAATGATTTTGCCAATTGAATGCAAGTAGGGTTATGTTTTTGTTTTGCGAGTTTAGCATAGATGTAAGCATATCTATACCTATATCTATTTAGTTGTGGATTATAATTTCAAGCATCTCTTAACACTTTTAAAACTATTTTAAAACTAAGGGCATGCGCACTTTCATGCTTTTTAAAGAATATTCAATCAACCATTAGATAAATCAAAAGTTTATTGATCTTGCAAAGACTTGTGACGTGCGCTAAGAGAAAATGTTATGTGTCAAATTTATGTTGAAGTTTATTAAATATATGCGACATGGTATCGACTAATGTTAGAATTAGTTGGAAACAACCAGATAGTTCTCAATTACAAATGACTTACATCCAGGGATAACACTATTATCAGTGATTATGATGATGTATTACATCCAGGGAAGCTAGTATGTAAATGTTTCTCTTAAATACTTTAATCATATTGTGTAGAATTATTTTACGAAATTTCTATTGGCTTTCAGCTATAAAATATTAAAATAGAGTGAAGTAATAATATTGTGTACATCAAAAGTTGCCGTACTTTACCACAAATTTCACATAGATGAGTTAATTTTCAAAATTAAGAGGCTTGATAGTATTCCCTAAATGTTAGATTTTATGACAGGCTTGATTGAAGATGATAACTAGTTGCTCTATTCAGGGAAATCCTTTCAAGAAAAAATCAACTGGAACTTGTAGGCTTCAAGTTTCTTGATTTCTAGGAAAAATGCAGAAAAAAACAAAACAAAGTTTGGGAAAGAGAAAAAAGTAGATTGGAAATTAGAAGTCAATGTCTTATAGAGTCTTCTCCTCACTATAGCTTACATTTAAATCCATTTAATCCCTGTTCTGATTTTCTGTCAAGAGGCCAATCTATGTTTAGTTTTTCTTTCTACGTCTCACAAAGAACTTTCTCCTGGAAGCACTTAAAAATCTTTGTAAAGAGAGTTAACTGTGGACGTAAAAAGAGAGAGTTTCGAGGCAAAGTATGAAGTCTATTCAGAAATGAAGTTAATCTAGCACATGTTTTATTCATAGCAAGAGGGCTCTAATCCATTATTACTAAAAATGATGGAAGTTATAGGGAAAATGTTTTGCTTAAATATTAAATCATCTTAATCCTCCTTAGTCATTGCATTTGGCACCCCAGTAAGATACTATATATTCTAATTGGTTGTCCAAACCTCTTTTTGATTGTGCTTGAGTTTCTTGAGTCCTTTGTAGCTCTCCTATAGGCTCTTCTGGAAATTCTTGCGACATCTTCAATTTTTTTCATTCTTGTGATATCTCCTATAGCCTCTTCTGGAAACCCCATGTCTCCCCGAGTCAAGGTAGTTGATGTAGCCTTTTTGAGTCCCAAGAGCGAAGTTGCAAAAGCCATATTGTAAGTATTTATCCTTACTTAAGTCACATCAAAATATCCATGTCTTGATTGGGTATTGTACTGTCGCCAAACTCCACTTGTTGGGTCCGCAACTGAGTCAAATTAGCTCGGGCTCACTTCCATAAATGACTTATGATTCAAAACTCAATGAGCTAAGTTTGGTTTAGCTCCAATTCAACTCATTAGCTGACGATTTTTCTTATTTAAAAGCTATTAATATAAAATATTCTTGAAAAATATTTTAGTTAAAAGTACTTAGAGTATAAAATTATTAAAAAATTTCTCATCCTCATCAAAACTTTCTTATTATTTCTCTTTTAACTCTTCATTATTTTTATCATTTTGTTACAAGATTGCTTGAATTATAATGTTCTCCTTTTCATAGTAAACGAGAGCTTGCAAGCGGGTTATACTCTTAGAATTGAGTTGTATTCTCATGCTCAAATTAGACATGTCTTAAACTTAACTCGACTCGTTTACAACCCTAACCTCTTAGATCAAAATTTCACAAAGATGAAAACATTGTATTAAACCTAAATATTTTAGTAAGGCTGCAATGATGCTCTACGTTTTGATAATGCTTTTTTTATTATTATTATTTTAGACTTCGTTTGGGATAGCTTTGTTATTTCTTCTTAAAACAACAGCTTTCTAGAAAGCCGTCCCAAATGAAGCCTTAATTTCTGCTTCAAAGTGAGTTAAAAAAAGAAATTTGATGCTAATCGTACACGACGATAATTCGTTCTTATCTAAAACAGGTCAAAGGTGGAGAAAATGGTCATTCAGTTCTCCATTATGTCCATGAATTGTACCATGATTTGGGGATACAAGATCTAACAGTGCAGACTGATCATGTATAGTTCTTTGCGGTTTGTTCTACCTGCAAGGATTGGAGTATATAAATTTCATCATAATTTGTTCTGCTCTCTTCTTCTCTTTAATCTCCCAATGCTTGCTGCCATTATTTGTTTTTCAGAAACCTTCATCTCATTACTATGTGTTGATCCCAAAAAGGTTAAAGTTGTCTCTTTTTTCTATTTTCTTTTGTTTTTGAAGTTCATTTCGCTGAGGGTCCTCAGCCATGCCATAACTTTTTTTAAATGAAGCTTATAACTCACAAGTCTAATAATGGTTTAGTCTTCCTTTGGGACGGCTTTCTTACTGCTTTTTAAAGCAAATTTTTAGTACAACAAATTTTTGTACTAAAAAGTTGTTTTAAAAATTAGTGAGAAAGTTGTTCTAAATGAAGCGTTAAATAACTTGTAATAAAATTTAATTTATAGTTAATTTTAGTCATTTTCATTTTGTTGATCAAAATAGTACATAATTTTTTTAATATTTTTTTCTTAGAGAATAATCATCTAATATTATAATTCTTTCAGCATGATTTAGAATATATTAAAATTTATTATGTAGCTTCTTATTTCCTGAACAATCACAAAGGTAAAATTGTGTAATATTATTTGCCATTGGAGTTATTTCAACCTTTTAAAACTCAATATAATTTTAAATTTCACTTATTTTGATCTCCTTTCATATAATCTCATAATATTTAGTTACATAGGTTAGTGCGCAATAATTTATTTTCTCAATTCAAAGATTTTATTTTTAAATTTTATTAGTTTATGTTGCATAATACATACTAAATTATTCCCTTGTCTGGATCTTAAAAAACCCATTAAAAAAGCATAATGATTTTCACTTGCATACATTCAAGTATAGGGAGAGATGGTAACAAATCAATTGGCCTTTCATGTCCTTTCAAAATTTTATTTACTTTTAGGATATATATTATGCTACTTATTCTTCCTCCTAAGCTAAAGCCTTAAGTCATAATATTTGATTAACTAAAACTATCTTCTTATCTTTGGTTTAATTTTTATTTTGGATGAAATAAATTTAAAATTTTGATAATTAATGAGTACATTATATCTCACTTCATATAATGTAAGTGACTTCAAATCTTCATGGAAAAAAAAACTCAGCAATAAACTCTGGAGTGATATTTTTTGCGACTCTTAGACTTCATTTTCTATGACTTTTTATTAAAGCAAATTTTTACTATAAAAATTAAATTTTTTATAACTAAAAATTATTTTAAGAAATAATAAGAAAGCCATCCCAAATGAAAACTGCAAATATCCTATAATGATTAGCCAACCCAAAGAAAGGCTTAGTCTTGGATATATTGATATGATTTGACCACTAAGTCATATCCTAGTGTGAATATTTGGCCAACCCCAAAGAAGTATGAACCTCGAATGTATTTGCTGGTCTTATTTAGAATCATGGTACTTGGAGAAGATGACATTGATAAGAATTTGTAGGTTTGAAAGTTGTTTGCATTAAGCATGCAAGTGAGCTTAGTTGACTCGAATTTGACTCACAGAGGTTGCAAGTCAATTTTAATGAGACACTAGCTCAAGCTCGAGCTCATATTAAAACTTATAAAATAGTAATATACAAGCTTGAGTTCCAGCTTGGTTAAATCATGTTTCTCATCTTATTCTCGTTGATTCTTATGTACCAGGCTCTTGTTGTGAATCACAATGCCTTGTTCAATTGCATTCTAGTTCCTCATCTCCACATAGCTCTTATGATGACTTTCTATTATTATTTTTCTTTAAATCCTACTGGCCCCAAACTCTTGTCACACCTTCCTCTTCTTTTACATCAAGCTTCCATCATGACTTCCTTGCTATTCTTTGATGACCTCGATCTCTCGACAAGCTCAAACTTAGCAATAGGCAGATGAGCCAAGTTTTGAGCTCAAGGTTGAGCCAAATTTTTTTATCCAATGCTGATCTCAAATTAACTATGACTAAAATTTGACTCGACTCGTTTATATACACCCCTTTTGCATGACTCCAAAATAAAACTTGTTCAATTAGAACTCAAAATGGGCAATTGAAATATGAATCATTGAATATTAATCCAAAATCTTTAAGCTTATCGATTAGTAAGTTATCTGTCAAATCTCAAATAGACTTCAAGAATTTGATCAAACAATTTGATCTAATTAGGGGTTTTCTTTTATCCAAATTCATGTGACTCAAAATTGTCATATCTTTTTGTTCATAAAGATGAGATGGTCAATAAAACATAATGTATAAAGTCAAACTTCAAGTGGATTAATTTATAATATTTGGTCATCTTGAAGGAGAGATGACCAAAACTCTCATTTCCAAAACAATCAGTGAATCTTGAACCAATAATCCAACCTCTTGCTTTAAATTTTCAGCAAAGTAAGGTGAGAGATGACAATGAGAAGCCTTGATTACATCTATAACAAAATCCTAAATATTATGTTGCATTAATTCCATGACTTCACAATCATGCACATTGTTATTGTGCCCCAACTCATTCTTTTTCATTGCTATAAAAATATGATTTTATTTCACAAAATACAACATAGCTATAGCATAACACTTACGCCTTAGATTTCTCTTAGAACATTTTTGTTATTGTTTTCTAAAAAAATATTTTAGTATAAATTTTTTTTTGAAAGCAACGAAAAATCTATGACCAGAAGTTATCCTAAACAAAGAAGTAGTCATCCTTCTCTTATATTTAATGATATAATATTATAAAATTTTATTATTTCTATAACTAATTGTTTTTCCAACATGGAAGAATATTGATTTCCTTAAGAAAAGTACCAAAGAATGATATTTCAATGTGATATATTGGATAGATCAATTATTCGAAGGAAAAAATTGAAGTCAAGATATATGGGTGACTTGGGTACTTTCTCCATTATTTTATTATTATACTTTATGCTCTCATCATCTATGATTATGGTACTTTTAATATTTTTGGTTAGGAAAATAAGTCTCCTCATGGACTTGTAGACTCTTGCATAAAAAAAAAATACTTCAAAGATACACTTAGGAGACATATTTGAGACAACAAGTTGATTGGGGATTGAATGAAGCTGCCTAAGATTGATTGTAATCCAACTATAGCTTTGCAAAATTAAGTTTGAATGGAGACACTTGTGGTCAAATTTGGCTGCCAATATTAATCAACCTAAGCTTGAGTTTATCTATTATTGATTAAAATTCAAATGATTTACGCTTCGTTTGGAATAACTTTCTTATTGCTTCTTAAATAAGTTTTCTATTACAAAAAAAAATTACTTTTTGTACTAAAAAGCTGCTTTGAGAAACAATAAAAAAGTTGTCTGATCCCAAATGAAACCTTAACCTGCTTTGATTGAACTAAGTTTTGGTTAAGTAGTCACCTACTTGGTTATAATGGACTAATTAGCTTTGATTGACTTGAATTAGCTCTCTACATGAAGGCATGCAAAGCTATCTAAGCTAAGCAAAGGGGGTGTAGCCATTTATTAAGCATGCAATGCTCTAATTCTCATATAAAACCCCAAAAACTTAGACATTTTATTTGTTTTTGTGCAGTAGTAGCATAAATATTTAGTGAAAATATTCATTAAAATGATTCATAATTAGATTTTTTTATAATTTTATGTATAAAGTTTCCTACTTTTGCATGCAATCAATGAAAATCATGTTAGTTCAAGGACCTTGACTTTGTTGCGCATCACCTGATGTATTAAATTGCAACAATACCTTTCAACTTTTTTTTATTTTAATTTTTATCTTTTTCCTTTTGCAATTTAAACCCACTTGATTGTCGGCGCCATCAAACTAGTGGATGAAGGTGGTCCATGTAAATAAAAATTGTGTGGCAGACAAAATTAGACAAATATATAAGAAACATTATACATGAATATGAATATGAAATATATGCATGAGGGATGCTACAATAAACTAATTATTTGGTCGAGTTAGACTTTGAAATTAATAAAATTACACATTTGTCATTTTTTTTTACATTTATTTTTTGGTAAAAACGTAACAATTCAACTTTTTCTTTTGATAATTTTGATAATTACATTACAACTCATCTTGATTTGTTAGTTGGAAGCTGTGGCTACCAACTAAGAGGTCTTGGATTTTAAGTTTACATATATGATGTGTGTATGAGCTTGCTTTAATTAGCCTAAATATCCAAAAATAATAATAACAATAATTATGATAATTTTAATGGGCCACCGCGAAAAATATTGTTTGATTATGACAAGATTTGCGATTGATGACAGATTTGGGGTCAGAAAAGTCATGTATTTTTGTAGTGTTTGATCAACTTCTTTCGTCTCAGATAAGCATCAATATATAATAATAATTTTTTATAAATTTTTATTAATTACTATGAAGTTTTATAATAAATTAAGGCTTCGTTTTTTCTACATAAGTTTTTTAATATAATTTTTTTTTAAAGAAACAAAAAAATAGTGGCAAAAAAGTAAAAAAATCATCCCAAACGAAGCCTAAATAGCACATTGTTCAACAATTTCTTTAACATCTTAATTTTTTATCTTATTAGCTATCAATAAACAATATTTTGTTGCCAAATTAGTTCCTTTCTTTCTTTGAAGTGAGACTTTCATCCAGCTGAAACTAACAAAAGGATTCCATAAGGATATGCACAAACTTTAATAGTGCAAATCTTCCTAACAATATTTATTAATTAGTTTGAAAACCATATCACCATCAATATGACATGCCATATATCAATCATATAATTTAAATATGAATTTTAATTGATAAATGCTATTTAATTAGAGTTTTGTAATAAGACATATGACATTCAAACATCTCTCTCTCTCTCTCTCTCTCTCTCTCTCTCTATCTCTCTCTCTCTCTCTTTATATATATAATAAAAATACAAATGGGTGAATCTTAATCCCAAAAGAAAAGAAATGAACAAAAAAATATTATAAAAGAATCTAAAAAAACACCAGCTAGCTAAAGACAAACCCACAAAATAATACTGACTAGAATCGAGATTATTATTATCCAAAAAATAAAAACACCAATTATAGAGGAGGATACTAAATAGAAACAAAGAAGGAGAAGACACAAAATCAGAACATTTGTAGGAACCATTAGTGGATTAGGATTAGTATGTGCCAAAGAGGTGCTAGTTTTTCCAATGATAGCTCAAATAATTTATCATGGTTGTAGAATTTAAGACGTACTTTTCTCTAGCTACCGTCTTTTTTTTATTGTAATCACACTCCTTTGAACCAATGAAGTTGGAGTTAGAAAATTGTTTAGTCACATCAACTCAATCAATACTCCTATAATGTATGGCCTATATTGACACACGTTTACTAATAGTATGATTTAACACAACTTATTATCTATAACTGTAACACATTACTAGCAAATAAGTCGTCATCAACTCGCTCATCTGACTCATCTACTTAGGCTTCGTTTAGGATGACTTTCTTACTGCTTCTTAAAGAAGCTTTAATTTTTGCACTAAAAAGCCGCCTTAAAAAGCATAAAGAAAGTTATCCCAAAAAAAACCTTAGTCCATATAATTGAGTAACGTGACATACGTACAGGAGAACTGAATCATCCAAAGTTGACATTTTCAATGCCTTCCAAATCATTTCTTGTTGTTAACTTTGACATAATATTTTCTCAATATCATCCCTAGAACCACACTCCATCTCCTATTGTCAAATCTTCTATCCTCAACCTACATCATTTGATTCATTAAGTCAAGTTAACATATCTCTAAAAAGGAGCCACAATCTATGTGGGACAAATGCAATAAATATTTTATCCATTTATTTGACTAATTTTAATTAATTCAGATTTTTCTTAAGCAAAATAAAAAAATAATGTATACATTTATCTATAAAGCATAATATATATATATATTTACATAACTAACCACATGATAAGAACGAACTACTTTCCAAAGGGTTTTCTCCAAACTATGAGCGCGCGCGGGCGCACACAGTTGATGCTTCCATATGTTGTATGGGAAAGTGAGCATAGAAAATAAATATTAGGAGAGAAGAAGAAAAGGTAAGAGGGAAAGCGGTCCCATCGCTTGTGGCTACCCTCCTTTAATATGGCTCTTAATTAGAATTGGTTGGAATCGAAGGACCACTTCCACACCTTCTTCTTCTTCTTCTTTATTTTCTCTCTCTCTCTCTCTCTTGTTGAAGAAGGAAGACGGTGAGAAATCTCGTAAGCTACTTCACTTAGGGATCAGAGGCAGAAGAAAAAAGGAAGGGAGGAACTGCCACTTTGAAGAGATAGGGATTAGTACCAATCCCGGATTTGGCCACTCCTTGCAGTGTAAAGAAAAGCCATATCTTACCTAAAGTGTTGAGTAGCCATTAAAGAAGCTTGAAGAAAGAGAAACTAAATGAACTAAGAGGAGTTAAGGTTCCAAGAGAAAAAAGATTAGAGCTTAGAAGGTGTTCATGGGACCACCATGCGGCGGCTGGTATTAGCTTAGTACTCCTCTCTCTCTCTCTCTTCTAGCTAGAAAGCCATACGGATAGATAATTACTTCATCTCTCTCTCTTCCCTTCCCTTCCCTTCCCTTAGTTTGTTTAGAGAAATATATGCGCTTTCTCTCCTTTAATAGCTTAGAAGCACTCCTTCTCTATTGATCAATTAGTCTTACTGTAAACTACACAAGTCCTTCTCTCTTTCTCTCACAACACCTTTCAATATCTCTTCATAACTAATTCATGATGTCTCATGAATCCCATCATCTTCATCACCAACACCCCTTCAACGAGTTCTCGGCCATGGTCGGAAACTCGTCGGCGATGAACAACTTCGAGACCGGCGTCGGTCATGATCTCTTCCACATGAATATGTCATCATCAAATCATAACTGGAGGGGATTCTCACAAGATAGCGACGCTACCGTTTCGGTTGCGGCAGCAAGTGCTTGGCCCTTAGAATCTGATCTTCATGCAAACCAAGTTCAAAGTCTCTCCTTATCACTCTACAACCCTCCTCCTCAGCCCCCCTCCTTCCAGCTATCTTCACACCATCCTTTCCATATAAAAAGTTGCAAATATCTTCTTCCCACGCAAGAGCTTATCAATGAGTTTTGTAGCCTTGGAGGAGGAAATAGTTTCAAGAGGAATAATTTTGCTAAGCCAATGGATGATTCCAGTTCTTCTTGGAGCCAGCAATCTTTGTACTCCATGGAACCTATAGAATTGCAGAAGAGGAAGGCCAAGCTTCTCTCCATGCTAGAAGAGGTGATTTTTTTTCTTTTGTTTATAATTATTTTTTAATTATGTATAGTTTTAATCGTTCAATTATGTGGTGCTGAGAAAAGATATCTAGCTAACCATAGGCAGATGCTGCTCCTGAGTGGGGACAGAATGACAGTTTGATGCTTCCCTACTTAATTTTGGAAACCTCTATTCTCTACTTTACATAGTTATCTGACTCTATCTTTTTTTTTTTTCCATCCCCTCCATCATTATTGTTGATATTAAATGGAATCCACTAAAGTACTGAAACTTTAGATTATTGCTTCAGCTATGGTAATCAAAAGTTTACTACTTAATTCCACATGCCAATTGGAGGGAGTTTGGTGCAATGGAAATAATTTCATGGCTAATATTACAATATTAATCCATGAAAAAAGTTTAGATCGATCATGTATTATTTGAGATAATCAAGCAAAAGGTAACTAAGAAGAATATGTCCACTTCAAATTTAGCTGGCAATTCTTGTTTTTTTTTTGTTTGTTTTACATGATTAAAGGACTTGGGAGCACGTGCCCCCACTAATCTGGGCCTGCCACACTATATTATTCGATTGGATGACTTAATTTGTTGTGTAACTCTCTGTATTTTATGACTTACGATCAAAATATTTATAAAAATAAAAATAGGAAATGCTAATTAATAGCATTTTCTTTGATGACAAGTGATCTAAAAATCATTAATTTCTCTTTTAGAATGGTAGTAGAAGAAACTCAATTAGTTGATCATATTAATTAACAAGCATTTATTCTTCATCAATTAATATTAATTTTCCTTTCTATTTATTCTATATTTTAGTCTTTATTTTATTTTGTCAATAATATTGAGCACACAACAGGTCTCTGGTGGACAACTTCAGTTCTTTTTCATAAATTCACTTGGTAATATATATGTAGGAAGAGATCACACTCCTTATAACTAGAATTTACATGAGTACAAGATAAATAATCAAATAAGCATGCTAATGGGAGTCTTTTTATAGTAAGATAATTATCTTATATTTATTATGCAAATACTAACATTCAATTTTATTTGATATACATTTTCATTCTCATTTCATTAGGTGGATAGGAGGTATAAGAGATACTGTGAGCAAATGAAGGCTGTGGTGTCATCATTCGAAGACATCGCCGGCGAAGGAGCTGCGAGAACATACTCGCAGCTAGCTTCGAAGGCGATGTCTAGACATTTTCGATGTCTAAGAGATGGGATCAATGGGCAAATCAAGGCGACAAGGAGAGCCATGGGAGAGAATGAAGCCGCGGCGACGGCAACCGGCTTGACAAGGGGTGAGACACCAAGGTTAAAGTTGCTTGATCAATGCCTTAGACAACAGAAGGCATTTCAGCAGGCTGGAATGATGGAGAGTCATCCATGGAGGCCACAACGTGGCTTACCTGACCGTTCAGTCTCCATTCTTCGTGCTTGGCTTTTTGAACACTTTCTCCACCCGTAATTTTCTTCATCTCTATATATCTCCTTTGATTTAAATTTCCTATTCTACAGTCTGATACATCAATGGTAGTTAAAAGTTAATTAAGATCTCTAATTTTAAGAAAAACTTTATATAATTACGTACAAAATTGAAATTTTATCCTTAAAAGTAATTAACTTCTTCTGCAACTATATATATTATATTTTTTTTTTTTGCTCCGAAAGTTAATTTGCATAATTAAGATAAAACTCAAAGCCTGATCATATATATAATATATCTTAGCATAGAGATTAATTAGCTCGACAGTATTAGTACAGTAGTTTTGCTTGACAAGTTTGTAGTATAAGCTGCTTTGATAATTAATGCTTAAAATAAAGACATCTTAAGAAAAATGCATCAGAATAGACTGATTAAGCCACACTTAAGGAAAGATTATGTGATAGAATTAGTTTTCATGTATATTAATTTTTCATAAATAGAATAAAAAAGCATAGAAAAGAGGTTTATTTTAATTTCCTAATTATTTTTGGTGTTCCTCCACTTGAACATTATTATATAAACAATAATACATTAAAAAAATACTCATATTCATGATTTAATTAATTTTACAAGTTCTTTACATGCATGAGAGCTTCAACTTGTGTATTTTTCCACGTAATTTTTCTATCAATGGGCCCCATGAAAATTTATATAAGGTTTTTTGCATTAGTTATTTAGTATTCTTGATATGCTGATGATTGATTTTTTTTTCTTTAATTATTTGTTTTTCCATGATTGTATCTTGGTTTGACTCGTGTCTTCAATTCATCCTCTCACTCAGTATGTCCTTAACTGTCAGTGATTCCAAATGGTTGACCATGTTCAAATTATATGCCTTTTTGTATTATTTGTATATATATATATAAACATTAATGTTTAATTTAATAATAATTATTTTTTAATATATAACATGCAAGCTGTCTCCCTTTATAAGAAATTAATTAGAAGAAATTTGGCTCATTATTTGGTCAATGGTTAAGTCATTTAACTCTAGCACAGACAGTTTCAGCATTGTTTAATTCCACAGGCTTTCTTGTTCTTTATCAATGTACAAATGGACTGAAAACCTTCATTCAGCAGATCTTTGTCCTGTTGATTGTTTTTTTCTTCAACTACTTCGCAATGTTTGTTAATGAGTTCTAAACAATAATAGAACATATATGTTTTGGAATACAGAAAATTTGATCAGGATGAATGTAATTTTGATTGTGCACCTATAGATGTCCATGTTTCAGAGAAAAAATCTATAGAAAAAGAAGGATTTGGACAAACTGATGATAAGAAAATAATCACACATGTAGGGAAAAAAATGAAAAAAAGTGCAAGATGTTTAATTTGTATAATCTGTAATTAACTGATCAGTTTCCCTCACTCTCAAATGATTGATTATTTGATCAGTAAGTTTAATATTAATTTAAGTTTCGTTTGGAACGATTTTCTTACTGCTTTCTAAAGCTATTTTTTAGTAAAAAACTTTTATATTGAGAAAGCTGTCCCAAACGATGTATGTATGCAGAGTGTGTTTCATCAAATTATTATTTGTGTTGATAGGTATCCAAGCGATGTTGACAAGCATATTTTGGCTCGGCAAACTGGGCTATCTAGGAGCCAGGTAAGTCTTGTATATATACCCTAGCTACTTTTATAATTAGTTACAACTATATAACATACTTCATGCATGTGAAGTAGTATATCTTTGCACAAATCTTAAAGTATTCTAAGATCAACAAAATATAATATTTTGATATGCTTTAAGATATATGTGTATAAAGAATCTACTACTTGGCATAAAATAAAAAAGTAGATTCTTTTCATGCAATATTTAGTATTTTTGATGGAGTAGTTGGAATATATATTACCATTGTTTGAAGTCTGCTTCCAATTAAGCTTCCAATTAATGTTTTCTAAATTAATTATGTCATGATAATTCAGGTTTCCAATTGGTTCATAAATGCTAGGGTGAGGCTATGGAAACCAATGGTTGAGGAGATGTATATGGAAGAGTTGAAAGAGGATGACAAGAATAGCCAATCCTCCCATGCAACTACTATGCAAGAAGCAGGAACCAGCTGCAACAATCCATACTCAAATCCTAACCCTAACCCTAGCCCATCTTCTCATCTTGGCGCTTTCGAGGATCGAAAACCTAAGACATGCCATTTCCAAATAGACGAGCAAAACTCCCTCTCATCTATCATCAACAACATCAATACTCATCACCACAATCCAAACCCTAACCCTAATCAGAACTTTGGTATTATTGACACAGACTTTGGTTCTTATCATGGCCATGAGCTCACCCTCAGCTTGCAACAACATGAGAGGCCTCTGCTCTTTACAAGGGAGCTACCCATTGGAGATGATGGAGATGAAGTGCAGTTTTCAATATTAGAGGGAGAGAGTCAAAATATCCCTTATAGGAACTTGATGGGAGCTCAGCTGCTACATGACTTAGCAGGTTAGAGAAGATAAGTAAATTTAGGATGAATGAACTGCATGTACCCATGCATGCATGCACATGCATGTAAAAAACACTTTATATCATAATTAATATTATGATTGAAATTCACATCATGATGAGTTCATTAAATCATATTGTTCCCATAAGTTATGATTTCTTAAATATGGAGTGTGAAAAAAATACAAGACATAATCCATGAAATTAATTATATTTGTACAAGCATGGCCAAATTAAATTGAAATAAAAAAAGACAACCTTTTTTTAATAGAATTGATTGAAGTTTGTCATTTAATGAATTCTTCTTGATGTGAATTTGCACCAAATAATTCTAATATAAATTTTGTTCTCGTGTTATGTACGCATGAGGAAAAATTTTACTCTAGATATCTTGATCAAATATTGAATATGGTGGGTCTCAGAATTATTAGATTTGCTTTGAGATTGATGCAATATATATATATATATATATGAAATAAATAAATTTTATATTGCATTCATTTCAAGTTAAATTCAATAATTTTGATATTCAATATAAGAAAAAAATATAGAGGGGATATCTAAGCTAGCTTATTATTTTCCATATTTGTAGTTGTGATCAGGGGAATATTTAGATACTTTTGCCTATGATGGCTTCTTTATCTTTGTAAATTATTTGAAGTTTTTGTTGGTTTATATGCTCATCATAATGTATATTGGAGCAAGTGGGTGATGGGTCCAAATAGGGATGGTGTGATGTCATTATTAATTATTGGACGTTTAGAAGGTACATTTATACTGCCTTTTTTTTTTTTTAGTTGGCTTTGAAAGATGCAATCACAACTACTGATGTTGCTTTTAGTTATGCTCATCATCATACATTTTATACATATTTTTCTATTCTTTGATTTACTTATCTGAGTAGATTAGTCGAATCTAATCAAATCGGGTCGGTAGCTGGTTCAATCGATTGGCTCCATATTTTTGGTAAGTGGTCAAGTAGGGCTGACAAAATCAAGCCCTCTAGGATTTTGTTTGTGATGATTTTTTTATTGTTTTCTAAAGCAATTTTTTTAGTAAAATAATATCATAAGTTAGAAATTTTTATACTAGAAAACTACTTTAAAAAGTAGCAAAAAAAAAATCCTCAAACAAAGCCTATCGATCACTTCCTAGAAGGATCAAGAGTAACATTTTTTGGTGATCATTTGGAGTTCCATTCACAAAATAGCATGTGATGATTCTGAAAAGAGGAACTGCTTCCCATTCATTTCTTACAAGTATGAACTTTCATGCTTCTAGAGATAAATATGTTGTTATCTCGATCTAGTGTCTTAAGGATTGTTTCAATATTAAAGACTAATGATTGTAAAACTTTTTTTTTTTTTGAAGTTTAGGGCATTTTAAAATTATGTCAAACAATCAAAACCTCATTAGGGCTATTGATTTCATGGTAAAGTTGCTCATGTTAGTTGCATCTAGGGGTGTAAGTGAGTCAAGCAGACTCGTGAGCTAGCTCAGGCTCGACTCGATAAATGGCTCGTGAGCCAAGCTCGATGAGCTAACAAGCCAAGTTTGAGCTAGCCCAGACTCGACTCATAAACTCGTGAGTCCGCTAGTTTAAAAAATATTAATATAAATTATTCTTAAAATATATTAGAATTTAGGATTTTAAATACCAAGTTGTTAAAAATATTTAAAATTTATATCACAACTTCTTATATTAAATAATTCTTTATTATTTTTCTTATAATTTTTTACTCTTTTATTATTTTATTATAATAATTGCTTAAATCATAATAATTTTCTCTCTTTCATAATAAGCTAGTCGGCTCATGACTTGGCTCGAAATCATAGAATAAAGCTCGAGCTCAAACTCGATTAATTAATCAAGCTCAAGCTCAAGCCAAAGTGACTTGAACTCGACTTGACTCAACTCTTTTACACCCCTAGCTAGTTGCATCTATATGGTTGATGCATCTTTTACATAGCCATTCTAATAAGTTAACGGGAGCATCAACGACCAATGTTTAAAAAATCAGGCCGGTCCGATCAGTTTGACCTTAAACTGATCAATGAATCAATTCGAGTAGCTTTAAAAATTGGTATTACATCAAATCAACTAGAACCAACTTGAACCACCAGATCGACCGGAGAATCGGTGAATCAGTTTCGATTATGTAGAACCGATAAGTTCAAATGATGCACTATTAAGTGTTGTTGATCAAAGATCCAAGGGCTAAAATTTATACAAAAAAAAAAAATAAATATATAAAATTTATTGATTGATAATAGCTACTAATTAGTTAATATTGAAATATGCCCTCCTTCACAAGTTACTTCGTTCTCCATCAATCTTTCCCCTCAATAGTGATCCTCTCCCTCTCAGTTTGTCAAACATTTGACGGCATAATGTCCTCCTCGAACCCCATCGGTTCTCTTCCTTGATCTTTTCTTTGAACATTCGTATAATTATTGATTTATAATTATTGCAGATATTATTTATGTATAAGAACTTACTTATTTCATCACATATGTGCATTATTGCATTATTATTATGGGATTTATATCATATTTACATTTTTAATATTTATTACTTATTTATGTCTGATTTGATTTTCACAATCATGTGGAAGATTGTTTCATAATGATATAATTTTTTAATGTGAAGTCTCATATTTTATCTTGATTTTTTTAATATTGAAGGCTACGACAAAGTCCTAATTGGAGACAATCATAATATCTTAAATGGAGGCTACTACGAAAGACTACGTTGTAGGACACAAAAATCATCCATTATGGTTAATCATTAATTTTAAAAGATGAACTCTTTCCTATATAAACTCATGTAATCTTCACTTAGAGAGTATCCCCCAATAAGAAGCAACAAAGCGAGGAGATGAGGAGGAAAATATGAGATCTATGATGTCATCCAACAAAAAAAATAAGGAAGAAGTTTTTCAAGCGCTTGCAAGTGCGTTCCTCAACTTCTTTAAAAGCAGAAGATGTTTACCTTCATATTTGTACCATGCGATTGCATTTTTTCTCAACTAGACAAAGTAGTATCTTTATCCATATTCTAATTGTGCATGCAGTGTAATTCTTCTTGTATCTCTTTTGAAACTTTGTTGATTATTTAATCTCTATGCGATCATAGACATAAGTATACTTAAGCCGAAACATGTAAATTTTGATATTCTTTTGTGGTGCATAAACTCTTTTACAACTACTTTGTGATTCATCATACTTGCTTCTAAGTTGATAGCATTCTCTTTTCTAACAAATTAAAATGACTCCAATTAGCCCAATAAACAAGTCTATTCAAGCCTATCAAGGTCAGCTTTGGCCAACATTGATCAATCCTTTTTTACTTAATCAAACCTAGTCAACCATTGTTAACTTGGACTCCAATTAGTCCCAATCATATGTCAGTTATTCCCAAGTTGAAACAATCCATATACAAATCACTTTTAAAGTTGTAAGCCCAAAACGACTTCTATATATGTCCACAATTATGATCATATTGATGTATCATTAATTATAAATGTTACAAGCATGTTCATAATACTTTAAATGACATGAAAAATAAATCTAAAATAGCCCGAAATTATTATTTTTTGAAAAAGCCTCCATTATTAGGTTATTATTGAGAGCAATTAGGTTCCATTTTAATCCTTAGTGGGAACCTTCTATCATAGAGCCCAATCAATGTAGGGTTTGATTTAATCAAATAATGGATAATTATTTTAGCTTATTTTGGGCCAAATGAGCTTTGAATTGTCTAAAACTATTCCCTCACAAATTGGATATTGCTTGGGGAATTAATCCTTGATTTCCCAAGTGTATTTGGAGGCTTCGTCCTTGCCTTTTTTATAAATCCTAACACCTCTCTAAGTTTTTCCAAGTGCGAGAAAAAAATGTGTTGATGAAAATCTTCTTGAAGTGTACCGTATGCTAATGAGGGAGGAGTGTGCTTGTGATCTCAAGTATGCTAGGCATAAATGGCATTCTCAACTAGTCTTCCCTCCCTATTGCCTTTCTTCCTCTTTCTTTATCTACTCTTCCTTTTCATGGATGACTATAAATTTGTCCTACATCCAATAACTCAATTGATCTTAGGACGATCATTTACATGCATACATTTTACAAAATTATGTGCGCTTTGATTACATTCAATTTAATATTTTATTTTCCTTAGTCTATAAACAATGTTCACAATATGGTCTATTGATTCCCCTCTCATTATGTCTTTATTTTGGCTACAAGCATGATGGATGTCTAATGATTTGATAGAGCAACAAGAAGAACTCCCCTAGATGTCCTTTAAGTCATAGTAATGAGTAAGGCTCCATGGTCATAGCATGAACCAAAAGCTCTCTAGATGTTTAATGATTTGGTAGAGTTAAGAATGTTGTCACCCTTAAGTGTCATTTATGACATGGTAGGTAAGGCCAACTTCAAGGAGAACCAAAAAAACTTTAAGGTTAAGGCCAGCAAAATGCTTAAGTGCTCCTCACCAACTTAAATGCCATTCTTCAAATGGTAGGCATAAGGCCACAACACTTCCCATTGCCCCTAGCTCGATTCTATGGATAGAAAATTCCAAATTTTTTAAGAAAATTTTGGTGATTCAGGCTTCGTTTGAGATAGTTTTTTTCATGCTTTCTAAAACAACTTTTTAGTATAAAAATTTCAAGTTCAAGAAATTTTACATAAAAAAGCTGCTTCAAAAAGTAGTAAAAAATTGTCCCAAATGAAGCCATAGAGAGACAGCTTTCTTGCTATTTTATAAAGCTATCGTAGCGAAATAAACTTCTAAGGTTGTTATAGAAAGTAACTTCCTTGTACAAATTTTTTTTTAAAGCAATGAAAAAAGAGTGACCAAATAAAAATATAATATATAGCCTAAAATAATATAAATAATAATATATTTACCCGCATCTAAATGTTTGATAATCACAGGAATACTAAACGCCCTTTTAAATTATTTAAATTTAACATATAATTAGGAAACACTAAAACAATAATTAAAATTTTCTTTAAAATTCGAGATAAAATTTTAAAATAATTCATGTAGGTATACATGAAAATTTTAAATTTGCATCATTTTTGCTAAAATTATAAGAACAATGTTTCT